GAGGTCGATTGTCACTTTGTGAGAGAGAAAGTGATAAGTGGAGTGATAACCACATCTCATGTGAGCTCAGGAAATCAGTGGTCAGATCTCTTTACAAAGGGATTGTCTCGGGGCAGAGTAGATTATATTTGTGACAAGCTGGGACTATATGACATATACTCTCCAGCTTGAGGGGGAGTGTTAGAATACACAAATCAGGGGTATTTTGGTCATTTGGGTTTATCTATTTATGAGGGACAATATGGCCTTTCTTGTAACAATGTTATTGGAGATAAATACAAGTGGGTCGGCTAGAGGTGGACTGATTTTTCCTAATCTGGCCGAACCCTTCTTCTCCTCCTTCTCTACTTTAACCTAGAATCGAATAGGGATTTTACAAGGGGAAAATAATTTTTTTCTATCATCACCTAAAAAATGTCATGGTGGCAATGTTATGATTTGGTTTACATCATCCCTGCTTTGTGTTGATTCTGTCATTATTTGGAAAGGACATATTTTTCAGCATAAGACTAGATATATTTAATGGGATCATAATTAAGGAAATAAAATCTTGAGTGAATGACAACCAACCCTCTATTCATCCAATTCCATTGGCCAAAGCATGTGGACCAATAAAATCTTGAGAGTACCATTGCAGTACCCCGTTGATCAGATGATAAGGATGCTCTATGTTGGTTGTCTGCCCTTTATCATATGCCTGATAATTGCTACATTAACTTCTTCAAAGTGCAAAGTTTAGCTACACAATTGCCTAACATGGAGAAATAGAAAGGTAACTAAATGAATAAGAGGAAAGAAAAGGGAAAAAGAAAAGAGGGAAATGATATAAACTTGTGTTTATATCTTGATTAATTAATGTACTTTACTGCAATTATGTGACTTATTCTCAGTCGATTCTCCCAATAAAATGAACCGAGCATGGTAAATGCTTGTACACATGACTGATAATTGAGCCATCCCCCCTAACACCAAAAAGAAAATGTAAATGAAAAATTCAAGCTTCTCAGTTGATGTAAAAGAAAATGTTTGGGAGGAGAGAAACTCACGGATCTTCTCAGAAAAGGAGAGAAGCTTGGAAGTAATATTGGAGGTCATCCATATTAGGGTGTTACATTGGTTGAAAACTTTGGCATTGTTTGCAGAATTCTCAATTTATGAGATGCTAAGAAACTGGAAGGAGGTTGCAGAATTAGCTTCAGCAAAGAAGGCATCAAACTCTTGTTGGATTCCTCCACCTCATGGCTTTATTGAACTGAATTTTGATGGCAGCAGTATGGGTAATCCAGGGCCATCCGGAATAGGGGGAGCAATAAGAGATGAACAAGGGAATCTGTTAGCTATGTTCTCTGGACCAATAGGGGTGGGAGACTCCTTGAGGGCTGAGATACTTGTAGCAATAAAAGAAGGATTTCAAACCTGCTCAAGCTACTGCAACTTGCATCCTTTAAAATCTTCACTTTTTGTTTCCACCCCCTTGATCAAAGCAGCGTAGAAGAATTTGCTATTTTAGTACCCTTTTTTGGGTAAACTGCTATTGTGGTACTAACAAATACCAGTTCCCTTTCTTGTTAGCCTTTCATGTGGCTCTGTGATTGCTGGCAAATTATGTTTCAATTTGTATATGGCAAGACTGATGTATATTTTTTTTCTTAGGTAGGATACGATGTTGTAACACCTAGCAGACACAATATTGGAAAGGTCAGTGTCAGTCTGAGAATGCAAGGACTCTAGCACAGGTTCACCTGCATTTAGATGCACATAGTTCATTGTATATGCCAGAGATATCTCATTTTTGTTCTTTTACATTCCAAGGTGCGAGGCTACAATTTTAGCATCAACTCAGGGGCAGTGGAATCACTTGAGTTTGATTCTTTTGGAATTTCTGTTATCCCATCAAGTTTGGTAAGTTGATTAGGCTGTACTTATAGCTATTATGGTAACAACAATAAGATACCAATTTCATATTGAATCATTATGTTCTAGTGGAACATTGTCCATTATCCAAGAATTTGGAAGACTGGCACTTGTCTGCTGAAGTGGGCATCTGCCATATAGCAGTTTACCAAACATTTGGTTCAGTCTGCACAATATGACTTTGTGATGCTCTACTACATCTTTAAATGAACCTACCAACATTTTAAATGTAATTGGCTTATGATGATTCAGGTTTAGCACATATGCTTTGTCTGGTGATGGCATATTGAATCATTATGTTCTAGTGGAACACTGTCCATTATCCAAGAATTTGGAAGACCAGCATCTTGTCTGCTGAAGTGGACATCTACCATATAGCATTTTACTAATCATTTGGTTCAGTCTGCACAATATGACTGTGATTCTCTTCCACATCTTTAAATGAACCTACCGACTTTTTTTTTTTTTGATTCATCTACCTACCGACATTTTAAATGTAATTGGATTATGATGATTCAGGTTAGCATATATGCTTTGTCTGTTGATGATGTTCTTGAAGTTGCCTCTGACACTGTGGTAGTGCATGAAGCTGCAGCCTCCCATGTACAAAGACTAACAAAGGTAAGTCTAGACGTAACTATATAAGGTATCACTTGTCATGTTTCTCAGATTGTTTCTGGGGCAGCATGCCAAAGGGTAAGCTGGAAATTTGTGACAGCCTCTTGTTTATGTGACAACTTAACATGTCTGCTTTCAAAAATAAATTTGCTCACTATAAGCATGAATTCTTACTGTATGTTATGGTGGCATCAAAACGATGCACGGTACCCTAAAAATGATGCACGGCATCAAAATGATGCACAGTACCCTAAAAATAAATTTGTCAGTCTCATTCCTTTTCCAAAATAAAAGCGGTAGTCTTATCAAGGGTATTATACCAGTAGTTCTCAAATTACCCTCTTAAATTTCCATGAATCATTGTTTCATATACCCATTCTGTGTTAGTTTACTCATCAGAGAACAAGTTCTGATGTGTCTTTTATGGCTCAGTTTGATGGTTTATTTGCTGTGGGGTTTAACTTGATTGAATCCTCTCCACCTAAAAATAAATGAAGCAAGGGGATATCAAATTAGTTTGTGGTAAATTGCAGACTCAACCTCTTTTAGTTAAAATAAATTAATGATCTGAAGGTGATCATCATCATCATCGTCATCATCTAAGCCTTGTCTACACAAATCTTGTTTGGCTACACAAATCTTGTTTCACCATTCCCTTCTGTTCAGTGCCATATCTATTATCAAATTATGGGCACTTAAATCATTTCTTACTACTACTTCCACCTATGTCCTTTTTCAGTCTTCCCCTAGCTCTCGTAGCTTCTTCAGCTTCTAATAGAAAACTTCTAACAGGTGTTGTAGATTCTCTATGCATGTGCACAAACTACCTCAGTCTGTTTTCTCTCATTTTATCACCTATTCTATTCTTAACTTCCTGCATATGACTTCATTTCGGACTCTCCTTTCTAGTTTTACCACTGACCCATGATCCATTTAAATGTACGAGCTTCTGTCACATTCATCTTTTGGACATGCTGTTTCTTAATTGTCCAACACTCTGCTCCATACATTTATCAAAAAAAAAAAAAAAAAACACTGCTCCATACAACATAGCTGGCCTTATGACTTTTCTAGAAATGATCTGAAGGTGATGATTGTATGAAATATTAACTGAAAATCTGTAGAAATTGGGTGGTTGCAATTAAAAAATTCAGTTGAAAAAGGAAGCTGATTGTGAGCAGAATGGAAATACATGGTCCTCTTTTGTGTATTTATTTATTTATTTACCAAGCCTATAACTCATCTAAAAATTTGGAGATATTTCTAATACTGTTTTTCCATTGGTGAAATCAGGGTTTCTGGGATACTCGGTATGTGGCAGCTACCAAAGATGGGTTTGGAGGATATTCTGATATTGCAAGAGGCAACCCAAAAAGTTTCAGACGACGGTTTGGTTCAAAAAAGAGGAAAGATGACGATTGGGGACTTCCAATGGATTATTTGTAACATCTCTCTCTCTCTCTCTCAGCCGACATGTTTGTATAGTCTAGCTCTATGCATGTATTTACAATTAATTTTGTGTATATGCACTGAAAAATTACGCTTATAGTAATCTAAACATTGACTACATAAGTTGCATTTGGATGCCTAGTTAGGACCGGTCACAATTCACAAGATTTCCTTAGAATGGCACGCTGGCTTTGGGGAGAATGTTCCTTGGAAACGACTTTTATCTGTTCACTCTTCGGAAATGCCCCACCACACTCTTAGTCTTAGTCTCTTAGAGTCTAGTTACATCATTTCATGCATATTCCCGTCCATTCATGTGTTTTCTGAATTTCTATTATAGTTGGCTTACGTCCTTGCGTTGGGTTCTTTTAGGGTGGTCGGGGGTGATGAACTGGTATGGGTTGGGCTATGGTTGATGACAGTTCCGGGTGCACCACGTAGATATTCTTCTGCTGCTGCTGCTTCAATTAAATGAACCTTTCCAGTTCCAGGGGCTAAAATTTTGCTCCTTCAAAAGATTAGTCTGGTAGTGGAATAGAAGTATGAATGGATGGGCTTCTTCCGTCCAGGTCCACATATAACTAGAACCGGATATAGGCTTATAGTTTTGGACTGTGGTCAGGTTAGGGCCTGCCTATGACTGACATAGGTGGCATCTGACCCGACCCCACTAATTCCCTTTCCCTAACCAAATTCAGCCTAATATATAAATGAGTGGAACTCTAATTGGGTATGTGGAAACTGTTGGATTTTAATTTCATAAGAGATTAAATCCAATGGGTTTGATTGGTCAATTACATGAGAAATTGCATTTACACATTTGATTGAAAAGTTTGTTTTTCTTTACAAAACTCAGTTTTGAACTTGTTCCACATTGGAAAATTATAAGCTTTGTTTTCAGTATTTTAATAGGAGTTGATTTACATTCCTTATAAATAGTAAAGGAGAGTATGGGGCTTTGATACCGCGCAACGCGCGTGCGCATGTGCGGTGCAATGAGGCGCTTAGAGGCACACTTTGCTCGCACTTTGTGCGCACCCACATGACTCGCGAATGACGGCTTTGGTTTTGGTGCGATGCTGACCGTTGATCCGGTCACGATTCGATCGGGTGTGATCAAGAGGCACGATTCAAAGTTAACAGTCATTAACTGTTAACTACTTTTTAAACAATCAAATGTTTGAAGTTGTGACTGTTCAAGGTGCATTATCTAAAATAGCACCTACATTTTCTCTATAAACTATTTAAGGAGCATGAATCAGATTTCAAAAACACATTTTTGAAATTCACTCTCTCAGTCCGGTCTGCTACAGTCTCATAGAAGGTTTTTTCGGAGATTCTCCAACTTTACTGGTTGTAGATTCTCGCCCAAGGCTCTGTTATATCTTGGGAACGGATTTGCCTGTAACCCAACAGCAAACTCAGTGAAACTGAGTGGGGGCAAATAGTGTTCTAAAGATAGTGTCTTCAGACGCGCCTTGGAGCTTCTCCTCCAAAGTTACAGTGATCCCATTTTCTAACAATTTTAGAGCGTTATTCTGCAATGGAGGTGGAAGCAAGCATGACTTCAATTAAGATGATGAATCAATATCTTGTTCGACTAGACCAGTTCAATGGAGCAAACTTCAGCCGATGGTAAGACAAGATGATATTCTTTCTGACTATACTAAAATTATACTATTTGTTGGACCCAAATCTACAATCACTTACTGAACCCACTGACAGACTCAAAAAAACTAAAGGAAAGAGCAAAACGATAAGAGGACTCGCTTCTGTGCCAAGTACACATTGAATGCCTTCTCAAGCCGACTCTATAACTTCTACAAGGAACTTACATCTCCAAAAGAAATCTGAAAGGCCCTAGAATTCAAATACAAAGTGTAAGAAACAGGTACAAATAAGTATCTTATTGCAGAAAATTTGACTTTACCATGAACGACCATAAATTCATACTGGAGCAAGTTCATGAACTACAAGTGATAGTCAACAAAATTTGATCCATTGACATCATCATTCTTGAATCTTTCCAAGTGGGAGCAATCATTGCCAAACTTCTACCCTCTTGGAAGGATTACAGGAAGAAGCTTCTGCACAAGACTGAAGAACTTACCTTGGAGTAAGCTCAGCAACACCTACGTATCGAAGAAGAGTCTCGGATTAGAGACAATAGGGATAAGACCCTGGCCGGTATGCTGATCACTAAGGTCAATTTTGTGGAAAACGGATCGAAGAAGACTAATCCTATATTACAAGTAAAGAAAAAGGATGTGAACTTCAAGAAGAGCAACAATAAGAAAGGATCTTGCTATGCTTGTGGAAAGAATGGGCATTATGCTTGAGTCTGCCGACATCAGAAAGGTGGAACCAAGTCTGCAAACATGGTAGAAGACAATCTAGTGGCCATGATTACTGAACTCAACATGGCATAATCGTCTTCAAGACATATGAAGAAGTGACTGATGGCCAGGAGGTATAGATGGGGAATCAAACATGTGTCAAAGTTGCTGGAAGAGGCAGCGTAGAGTTGAACTTCACCTTCGAAAAGACACTGAATCTCCTGAATGTTCTCCATGTTCCTGATATTAGAAAGAACTTAGTATCAGTAGATCTTATCTGTAAAAGGGGATTCAAAATTGTCTTTAAATCCGGCAAACTAATCATATCCAAGAATGGGATGTTTGTTGGAAAGGGATATGATTGTAATGGTATGTTCAAATTAAGTATTAATGAAGGAAAAGTTTCTGCTTATATTGTTGATTCTTTCTCTTTATGGCATGATAGATTAGTACACTTGAATTTTAAATCCATAAAGAACATGAGCAAACTTGGTATAATTACTTACAGTAATGAATCAACTGAAAAATGTGAATGTGTAAAATCTAAAATGACTAAGAAACATTTCCCTAGTGTTGAGAGAAATTCTCAACTTCTATAACTAATTCATTCTGACATCTATGAACTCAATGGTGTATTAACTAGAGGAGATTAGAGATACTTCATAACATTTATAGATGAATTTTTTAGGTACACCTATGTCTACCTTATGAGAACTAAAGATGAAGCCTTTGACATGTTTAAACTATATAAGACTGAAGTTGAAAATCAACTAAAAAAGAAAATTAAAATCCTTATAAGTGATAAGGGTGCTGAATACTTTAAAAATGAGTTTAATTATTTCTATGAAGAATTTGGAATAATACATCAGTGTTCTGCTCTCTATACCCCTCAACATAATGGCCTGGCCGAAAGGAAAAATAGAACACTTACAGAAATGATAAACTACATGTTAAAAGTTAATGCACCCTTAAACCTGTGGGGGGAAGCACTCCTAACAGCTTGTCATTTACATAATAGAATTGTTTCTAGAGTTAATAACAAATGCACATGAATTATGGACAAAAAGAAAATCTAATTTAGCATATCTAAAAGTGTGGGGGTGCTTAGCATATTATAGAGTTCTAGATCCTAAAAGAACAAAGTTAGGACTCAAAACTAAGAAAAGTATGTTTGTTGGATATGCAGAACATAGCAAAGCCTATATGCTTCTAGACTTAGAGTCTAACATAATAATTAAAATTAGAGATGTTGAATTCTTTGAAAATAAACTATGTTCTGAATTTACAGAAAATGAATCCACAGAAAATGATAGAGAACCTGAAAGAGAAACTCAGATCTCAATACTTGTTGATAATAATAAGACTGAAAGAAGAAATAATATAATTGTAACACCTACAATAGGACCTAGAAGAAGTCAAAGACAGAACAGAGAAACACTTGGGTTCAGATTTTATTTCTATTCAATCAATTGTATTTTTAGTTGAGGCTAATAGAGAGGAGATTTTAAATAAGATACTCGTTGTCCTGAACATTGAAGATGATCCAAAAACCTATAATGAGGCCATGACCTCTAGAGATGCTGCTTTTTGAAAGAAAGATATAAATGATGAAATGCATTCAATAATGTCAAATAACACATAGGTACTAGTAGACCTGCTTCTATGATCAAAACCAATAAAATGTAAATGGATATTTAGAAGAAAATACAATACTGATGGAACTGTACAAACTTTTAAGGCTAGATTGGTAGCCAAAGGATTTAGTTAAAAGGAAATGATTGATTACTTTGACACCTATGCACCAGTGGCTAGAACTTCTATTAGAACACTCATAGCATTAGCATCAATTTCACTTATCTGTTCATCAAATGGATGTTAAAACTGTTTTCCTAAATGGTGATTTAAATGAAGATGCTTATATGGAACAATCAGAAGGATTTGTTCTTGAAAATGAGAAAGTCTGTAAACTAGTTAAATCATTATATGGATTAAAACAAGCACCTAAATAGTGGCATAAGAAATTTGATTCTTGCATTCTAGCTTTTGGTTTTAAACATAATAGTGTTGATAGATGCATCTACTCAAAATTCACTAAAAATTATGGAGTAATTGTATGTCTTTATGTTGATGATATACTTATTGTGGGTACAAATATGGTTGGCATAAATGAAACTAAAAACTACTTATCCTCTGTCTTTAAAATGAAAGATTTAGGAGAAATAGATATCATCTTGAGAATAAAAGTTAAAAAGCATAGTAGGGCTTACGCATTAAGCTAATCACACTATATTGAGAAAGTACTTGAGAAATTTAAGCATTTAGGGTTTAAAGAATATAACACGCCATATGATTCTAGTATAAAACTAATAGAAAATACTGGTAGAGCAATTGCACAACTTGAATATGCTTGTGCAGTAGGAAGCTTGATGTATGTTATGCTTTATACAAGACTTGATATTGCATTTGTAGTAAGTAAACTTAGTCGGTTTACAAGTAATCCCAGTGCAGAGCACTGGAAGGCAATTGGGAGAGTTCTTGGTATCTCAAGAAAACCTTGGAACTTAGCTTGTTTTACTGTGATTATCCAGTTGTACTGGAATGGTACACTAATGCAAGTTGGATTACCGGTAATGGAGATAACAAGTCTACATCTGGATGGATTTTTGTCCTTGGTGGGGGTGTGATCTCTTGGGCATCCAAGAGACAAACTTGTATATCTCACTCGACCATGGAATCCGAATTCATAATCTTAGCGGCTGCTGGAAAAGAGACTGAATGGATTAGGAATTTATTATTGGATATAAAACTTTGGCCTATTCCTATGGCTCTAATTTTCATTTACTGTGATAGTGAGACAACTCTATCAAAAGCCTACAGTGGTACTTACAATAGTAAGTCCAGACATACAAGTCTGAGATATGAATTTGTTAGGCAACTGATTCAAGATTGAGTCATCACTATAACATATGTGAGGTCAAGTAAAAACTTGGCTGATCCTCTTACCAAGGGCTTGGCTAGAGAATTGGTAAGAATGACAACCAAAGAGATGGGATTAAAACCCTTTACTTAGTCACCTGTAATGATAATCCAACTTGAACTGAAAAACCATTAGTATTGGGTTTAATGGGTAACTGTTAGCATTGACATTGAGAAATTTCTCATTACAGCATAAACAGTGTTGTCCATTATGATGAGAGGTTGAGTTAAACTCTTAATGAAGTTCTGAAATGTGTCAAATAACGAAACACACAGTGGAGCTTCACCTATGTGAGCATAGAAGTGGTGTCGCTTCTCATGAGAGTTTGGGTTTGCTCTTTGGATTGTTCATGAAACCAGGAAATAAGCACATGGTCATAACAGTGCTAAGTAAAACTTGAAACTTTTGCAGAGACTAGACATTTTTGTGTGTATAGGTGTCTCCGGTCTGTCTTGAGAGTAATTGGTTTAAGGTCTTACCACCAATAACCTTGACAAGGCTCTGAGATATCTATACTAACAAAAGGTTTAAGTTGATACACCTTTTGTATGCATAACTGTGTCATAATAGTTTGGATTGAGAGAGAATTATGTAATTGATCAATCAATGTGAGAGATTGTTGGATTTTAATCTCATAAGAGATTAAATCCAATGTGTTTTATTGGTCAATTACATGAGAAATTGCACCTACACACTTGATTGAAAAATTAGCTTTTCTCTTACAAAACCCAGTTTTGAACTTGTCCCACATTGGAAAATTATAAGCTTTGTTTTTAGTATTTTAATAGGAGTTGATTTACACTCCTTAGAAATAGTAGAAGAGAGTATGGGGGTTTGATACCGCGCAACGTGCGCGCGTGTGTGCGGCGCAATGAGGCGCTTAGATGCGCACTTTGCTCGCACTTTGCGCGCACCCGCATGGCTCGCGAATGGCGGCTTTGGTTTTGGTGCGATGCTGACCGTTGATCACCGTTGATGAGATCAACGGTCATGATTTGATCGGGTGTGATCAAGAGGCACAATTCAAAGTTAACAGTCATTAACTGTTAACTACTTTTTAAACAGGCACAATGTTTAAAATTGTAATTGTTCAATGTGCCTTCTCTAAACCAACACCTACATTTTCTTCATACTTCTTCATAAACTATTTAAGGAGCATGAATCAGACTTCAAAAACACATTTTCGAAATCCACTTTCTCTCTCTCTCTCTCTCAGTCCGGTCTGCTACAGTCTCACAGAATGTTTCTCCGGAGATTCTTCAACTTTGATGATTGCAGATTCTCGCCCAAGGCTCTGTTGTATCCTAAGAACGGATTTGCCTGTAATCCAACAGCAAACTCAGTGAAACTGAGTGGGGGCAAATAACGTTATAAAGACAGTATTTTCATACGCGCCTCAGAGCTTTTCATCCAAAATTATAGTGACCCCATTTTTCAACAGAAACTGATAAAATGTTAAAGGCCATATATCCCAGCTATCTACGTCTACGTGTTGGGGAAAGGTGGATTGGATATGGGTGATGGACCTGAGTTGGAGGACCTAATTGCTCATGTCCAAAATTATGGAAACGAAAAAATGGGGTTTTATTGATTCCTCCATGATGCCTGGTATTATCCATTGCCACACTAGTGGCCAAAGTAAACATGGGCCACATTTGAACTGAAGGAGAGAGTCGGTAATTTGGATATTGGTTTGTTTGGATTCAACCTCCCTCAGGTCTGGTACATCTCGGTCCACAATCCACATGGATTTTTACAGTAGGATCAGGAAATGGAATGTTTAGTAATGTGTAAAGATATAATATATAAATGTAATGTGGTTGCCTTTGTGAAAGCGTAGTTGTTTTGCTTTTAACATCACGCATATCGTGATCGTGTGAACTGTGAAAGTAGTGATAGTGAAGCCTTGTTTTTGAAAGCCAAAACTGAAGTACAGTTGGCCCCGGATGAAGTACTATTTATTTTGATGCCGTATACACAAACCCGAATGACTATTGGCTCCACCACCACCACCATCTCCCCACTCGCTAGGGCTAGACGCAAAATTTTTTGGATTATGTTAAGATATGGTATGAAAAGAGTTTTGGCCAATCAAAATCTACCCATAAATTTTGATAAATAATACCTTATTTACTATTATGTTTATGATTTCAGTTTATTGATTTTTTATTTTTTGGATATTATATCTTTTCCATATCATAGTTGAATCCAAAAGAATAAACACAAACTCAAAATCAAGATAGAATTTTTTTTTTTTTTTTTTGTGTGTGAAAACAGGAAATTGGAAATCAAAATAATAGTAGTTATTAATAGTGGTGAAAATTTTAGCCTTGCCATGCCCATATGTAAATAAAGTCCACATAAACAATTAAACATATATTATTTTGGAGTGCGGATTCTTTGGTATCGAAGCTGAAGCACCTTCCCCATCCCCATGCAATACAATTGCAATTATAACCTCTATTTATTTCAGTTTCCTTCCCAATTGCATGCCAACTGCCTTAATTTTTGTAAGGTGGCTGCTGTGGCCTGGCCTGTCTGTCATTAATTACTGTACACTCCCCAATTCTTTTCTTTCTCTATTATTATTATTCATGTGTACGACTTTGACTTAGACTTTGAGCGTTGTTCGACTTGCACGCACAAGAAAATATACTCAATTGTTCTCTAATTGAACTTACTCGTTTACTTAAATGCTAATAAATAAAATCTAAAATTTTATTTGTAAAAAATACATAAATATTGATATAAAGGTTGGTTGATGCGTGTGGAATGAAGAATGGAGAATGGAGATGAAGAAGCAAGCTGAGAAACATAGGTACGTCATAGGTAGAGTCTAAATGCAGTTTGCTGAAGCAGCGGCTTTGAGCAGCAAAGTGAATAGCATGAAAGGAGAAGAGAAAAAAGGGCTGTGGTCACTCTCCAACGTGTACACGGTAGAGGGCGGCCACTTTTGTATCATGGCTTCTTGCTGCTGGGGCTTGATGACCTGATCGTGCATTGTCTTTATGTAAACTCGAGTGATATCATCGGCACCTATTCCTTCAATTAGCCGTGCTCCTAGTAATGCCAGAAGCGGTCCTGGCTTCAGAAGCATTAATGCCAGAGTGGAGTCCTGTTTCACCCACCACAATTCACAAAAACATAAATCAATCAATCAATCAAAACTTAAAAGTGTTTTGAAATAGGGGAGGCTGATATATATAATTCATATGAGCTTAGTTGATGACTTTTGGAGTAGATTATGTACATGTGATTATGTCTACATCAGGTAGATCAGGGGCAAAATTGAAATTACCTCTTGAGGGCTCATGTGATAGATGATCTTGCGCTGATACTCTTTCTTTATAATGGCGCTGGTGGGAGGATGATCCCTTCCCAATCCATATCCAAATTCATACACGTCTCCAAACTCCGAAAGATCTGGAGCCCCCTGTTTGTTCATTGTTCCATATCATCATACACCACCAAGGTCAGATCAGATGTACAAAGCCACTCCGGATTTTCCACTCACTTTTCCTACCCACTCCTTACCCGCCCTGAATTAGAGTTACACATCTCTATTATGAATTAAGAGATATGTGGCTGCAATTCAGGGCGGGTAGGGAGTGGGCAGGAAAAGTGAGTAGAAAATCTGGGCAAAGCTTGCATGCATTGCACTTACAAACTCTTGTTTAATTTTTTACAGGTGGAAATGGAATGACATGGGCCATGTATTAACTGGTTTATTTCAGTAATGGAATAATCCCGCAACCAGTATTTTAGGAAAAAAGGGGAAGTTATTAATGATGTATGACACGGAATACCAAAAAAATCCTAATTCACCCTCGGCCTCAACTAAAACGGTGCCAGTCTTGGTCCTTCTCGGTATAGGTAAATAACTAAATACCAATACGTCATGATAATGATGATGATTTAAAACCGTGGCTTACGGCCTTGTAAGACGTACACAGGGTAGTTCTGATTGGTCAAACTTAATTCTTTCCTAATGTTAACAATATATTCACTCTCACTCTCACTTTTCAGAGTTTGACTTGATCAATGAGAACCATCTTTTGAATTTTGATGAATTTTTATTAGCATAAGGCGTAAGTGTAGGATTCCAGATTCCACAAGAACGCTAAAATAAAAAAAAAAAAAAGAAAGAAAGAAAGAATAGGGGGTAATTAAGTGCAGTGTTGATTCAGATTCATTATTGAACCTTGAGAGATAGAGAGGGTTGGGCATGCAGGGAAGGAGATGATGATAAAGGTATATGTGATGTTATGTGGTATATAATATGACTTACGAGGGAGGAGAGAGGAGTGAGGAGTGAGGAGTGAGGAGTGAGGAGTGGGGAGTGAGGACGACTGGACGAGGAGAGGAGTACGTAAAAACTTGACCTTTTGGGCATACTCATGCCTGGCCTGGCCTGACGTATACGGTATACGTGTCGTGTAATAGTTAAATCCATCCTAAATTGTAAGTTGTAACCCCACCCGAGTCCCAACCCATTCATTCCATGTTATTTTTACCTTTTAGGTTGCCTCCATCCCCAAACAGGACTCAACGCGCCATTTCTGCAGCTCAGCCGCCTCCAATTCCAATGGCCGCTCCAGCTTCCATGTCCATCCATCCATTTCACAATTCACAGTTCAGAGTTCAGACCCTCCTATCCTCCACTCCATCAATAGATTATATATATAGATACAAAATTAGGGTATACCCTTAATTAATAAGGAATTACCGTCTCTGTACTCACTCTGTAATTTGAACAAGCAATTAAGGAACGTACGTACTAGTACTATGTATGTGATAATGTGAGGTCTGAGGAGAGAGGAGGAAGAAGAGGAAGGGTTTGACGATTAGGTAGTATGGTATGAACTAGGCAACTAGCTAACTAGCTAAGTTCATGTATAGTTGCAATATGAGAACAAGTCAAATTAGTCATGAAAATTACATCTTTGATATCCTGGTCCGTCTGGAACCCCCACCGAAGCATCGTTGCTCCTATGTAGATCGCCATCCCTATTTTCTTCGGAAACTTATAAATCGCATCCGTCACGCTCAGTCCTCCCGCACTGTGTCCCACCAATATTACCTGACCAATCAGCCCAACCCAAGCAAAATTAATATTAATATCGGCCTAATTAAATCCAGCAAAATTAATATATATATATATATATATATATATATATATTAATAGCAGGAATCAGAAGAAGAAGGTAGCGATGGATGAGAGTTTACCTTTTGGTCCTGCGGCAAGTGAGACAAGAAGTCGACGAGTGGCTGATTGTATTGGTCGAACGAAAGAATTGAATCGGGATCAGAAGGATCGATGCCGGCGCTCTTGAGGTCGATGCACGTTACCTTGTAACCGGAACTCTCCATGAGACACCGGAGTTTATACCAGCACCAGGCACCGCCTCCGATGCCATGCAGCAGCACGAAGTGAGCGGCTCTGGAAGAGAAGGGAGGTATCCCCATTACTAACCCCTTCCCATCTTCACTGGCTATTACCATCTCTCTCTCTCTCCCTCTCCCTCTCCCTCTCCCCTCGTCCGTCGGCCTAGTTAGCTAGCTTACCTATTAGAGTCAGGCGTCTTCACTCTTCACTTTTCCTAATTAATATAACAAACGTTACAAGTTACAACCCAGCTATGATATTTATGTGAAATGAATTACTCGGGAAAAAAAAAACTCCCTTCCTTTTCCACTTTCCACTTTCCACTTTCCACCTTCCACCTTGCACTTTGCACTGCTTATATAGTTATGAGACAGCCCTTGTGCCCCTTAGGTGAGGTCGACCGACCAGTTTGGTTTGGGTTTTAATTGGGACCGACTTTGGTCTTCGGCCGGGTTGGGACTTGGGCCGCCTCCCAATTAAGTCTTTAAAGTCCACACCGTATAAAAAATACAAATAGATAATATCGTGAATATTGCAAGTGTAATAAAATTAATAAAGAGGACTACCGGATGTCCTTGGGAACTGAGATTTATCATCATCAATCACAGGCCAATATATATTTTATTTTTTATATATTATATGACGACGACGAGGATGTTTGTCTGCTTCTTAATTAGCTTAATTCACTGGATTTGTGTTTGTTCTATCTAGCTTAATGCATAAATTATTTTTGATGGGCCAAATTAAGAATTGTTTCTTTTTCTTTTAAATGTATATTAAAAAAAATTAAGTCTAGTTTAATGAAGCGATTTGATTAATTAACTAAGATTGGACATGATTATATGCTTTAATTTGTGCTTTACAAATTATAACTATAGCAAGTATAACTAGCAAGCAATACATTTCTAATTAGTCACTTCCTCCTTTAGGGTATTGCTTTGGCATGATAGGGAATGGAGTATGGAGATGGACACACGTACGTAGCGCACACAGAATATAATGTGTATAGAAGAAGGTCGGTCAATCATATCGGTTGCGAATTGAAGGAGTTTTCAAGGTCAATTGCGTTGAATGTAGAGGTCAGGGTCGCATTCGCTTGCGTCTAAAGAGAATAGCTCTTGTATTATATATATATATATATATAAACGACGACTTTTAACTGCGCGCGGCAAAAGTAATTAATTAACAAGGTGTAATCTCTCTCTATATATACGGTTATATATTTACTTGACAGGTCACCGTCTCAGACGAGGGCTGCAGATAAGCAGATTGACGCCAGAGTTTTGAGTCTTTTTGACAACTTGTAGCCATAACTGACCCAATACTAATTTAATTTCAAGAGTCAACACATGCATTATATTTGTGCTTGTGGTGGTATACAGTCTGTCAGTCTCTATTTGTTTTTGGGAAATTGTTTAAAATTTATTATAAATTTTCAATATTCTTCTTAAATGTATTTATTACAATTTTTTAAAATGTCTAAAATTTACCATATTATTAAGTTTTTTATTTTTCAAAATTCATCTTCCGTTAGTGTATCGTTAATACTTCTTAACAGAAGTGTCTATGTCAACATAAATAACAATTTTTATGACTAAATCACCCTTGAATGGTGAGTTAGAGAAAAATTGATCTTTTTCAGTTTTCAATTTTCTTATTTTTTAGTGTTTTGTTATAATTTCCAATGTTTTTTATAATTTTTATTTTTTTTACATTTTTCTATTTTCTACAATCTGTATTTTTTGTTATTTATTTGTAATTTTCATGCTTTTCTATAATTTTTGATGTTTTTTCTACAATTTTGTTTTTCAATTTCTATAGTTTCTATAATTTGAAAATAATTTTTTATTTTATTTGCAATTTTTATAATTTTTTATGTTTTTTATAATTTCTAGATTTTTATATTTGAAAATATTTTTTTAAACTTTTTTCCTTTTTCATGTCTAAATATTAAAATGGTAATATTTAATTTGTATATATTTTATTTTTTTCTATAAAAATTAAAATATCAATATATTAATACTCGTTAGTCTATTTAACGTCAAATTAGTGACATGATGAGTTTTAGACATTTTGAAAAATTGTGATGAATTTAAGAAAAATGATGAAAACTTATTTAACCTTCAACGATTATAAAAGAAATTGCCTGCTATCTACTTTATAAAGGTTGTCAGTTTGTCACTTTGGAAGGGTATCTCGGGACGTCTATCATTTTATTGTACGACGTGGCCATTCTATCAGCCTGCTCCTGCTATTATTTCATCGTTGTAATTAACCTCTATGAGTTGGACGCATCTCGTTTCTTTTAGAAAATAACCTGCTTTGAGAAACTTTCTTTCGTTACCAAAGACTAGTGTCTTCGTCTTTCATCCGACATGTGTCCAGCCAGTTTATCAAAATGAGATCCAGAATGTGGGATTAATGGCGCAACCACCCATGAGCGACAATGACTAGCATAAAGAAGAGAGGACAGAGTTACGTTGTGCGTGCTGGAGTCACCAAATAAATGATGTAATAAAAAAAACAATTAACCTCTGATGATTGTGACTGCCGTAGAAGAAGAAGAAGAAAAAGATAAACATTTCTTTTAGAAATTAGAATCGATTCCCATGTTGCTGTTACTGTGCGTTAATTCTATATTAGCTAACTAGGTTTTAATTAGGAAATCTAGTGATAGTCTGTTAAGAGCATAAGTTTTATGTTTCGATCGAGAAAAGTCTTACAGACATTATATATTAGAAAATAACAAAGGCAGAATATGAGGTGTGTGTGTGTGAGATATTTGTGGGACAAAAGGAGAGATTTGGGCCAGATGAGAGGGATGAAATATTAATCGGAACATCCAAACTTTCCATGTAATGTGGGGGAATACTTAATATTATCCATATTGTTTACTTTTATTGTCCTCTCGTGCCATGTCTATGTCAGTCAAGACTCAAGAATCACGATGGGCCTATACCCTTCTTAACATATATGTCACAATTTTTTATTTTTTTTCAACACATGTATCTTACAGAAGTCCTCTTTTTTTTTTTCAAGTGGCCGGAAGATGTTAATAGAACACCTGCACTGAAAACTTGAAACTTCTAACTATGGAAAAAGAAAGGATCTGAATATCCGTGGCGTACCCATAGAGTCATAGTGGTGTTCTAAATCAGTTGCTCATGTGAAATAGCCAGCAGAAGATTCGATTCGTGGCCTCTCTGCAACATAAATCGTATCCCTTTAAAAAAAAAAATTCTTTAGTTATTACACTGAAGTTGGGGGGAGAGAGAGAGAGAGATCAGGCTGATCAGATATCCCAAACTTTCACGAGCAACTTATGGGGAGGAGGGAGGCTCGCGTGGTTCGAGAGAAAGCCTGATCCTGTTAGGGATGTCCGTTATTCGCTTAATTTAAGGGCAGGCCTGTCCTTGTCTGGCATCTCACCAGCCAGCAGCACTGGCTCCCACAAACGACCTCGATTTGCCTTTCGTCTATAATCATCTATGGTCTTGATGTTGACATGTCAACCGTACGCCAACTGGGCTTGGGCTCTTCTCTCAAGTGTGTATCTCCCCCTCAAAAGGGGCCTGGTCCAATCTAATCAACTAAAGTTGACAGGGAAGCAGATAAATCGCCTGCAAGAAAAATGATTCAATTCGCATCAAATCCCATCCATCGCTATTTGTGGATATTCAGACTGTCAAAGATCATCGTCATCAGTCCGGCTACCTGATACGGTGATACCTCTACGTCTTCTTCCCTCCCCGAATCCACCGCCACTTCACATCTGTGATTTTGCGTAGTGGGAGGTGGCCCAGGCCCAGGCCCAGGTGAGAAATTGGGAATCACAAAATGGGCCGGCCATGCTTGATCTCTCTCGGTGGTACTGGGCCAAATGAAATGGCCCACTCCTTCCAGGTTTCCAACTTCTCCCGTTCCATTTTTATATTTCCGAAAATTTTGTTTTCGTATGTCGTCGGGCTACTTGCGGAAAATGGCTATTGATTGCAAATTTGCTGACGTGTGATGATAAAACCATAACAAATGGTGGGCATATATGTAGCTTTCGTACTTGATTTGAACTTGACAAGCAATTTAATGGGGTACCTATTTTTAATTAGGATGGGATTATTTCTTGTCTCTTCAATATAGTTACTCAAAACACGGAAGCTTGCTTTTGAATACCTCCATGAAACGACACTGTATATGTCGGCTTCGAAAGTTCCTGTGGATGGGTATTTCAATTTTCATTCTCACAGCTTCACACAAGTCTCTTACATGCTACAACATATGGCAACGGGCAAGAAGAAGGATTGATATCTTATAAATTTTCTTTTTTAATGATTTCTTAAACATTTGCATGGACCGTAGATGTAGATGTTGTTGGGTCTACACTGAAAAAGACCCTGTATGCTTTGTTTCTTACAAAATTGGTGTGTTGGATCTGCCATGTCCACCCTCTGCAGACAGCATGAGTAAATAAATAAATAAGTCTTGAGGCTATTAGAAAAGTTGATTACAAACAATTAACAAAGGAGGAGGATAAATCATAGGATTTGGTGCATTATTAAATATATGAAAATAGTATGAGAAATTGGTGCTTTCAACATACCAATTTTGAATCATTAGTAGTAAATATATTATAGTCTTACATTTACCCAATCAGATGGTATTTATCAAAATTCACAGGTGGATTTTGATTGGTCAAAACTCTTTCTGGTATCATAGATTTTTTCAATTAATTTTATTCTCGTAAAAAAATAGTATTCTAATTAATATAGGGAAAATCTATGATATAAAAAAAGATTTGACCAATCAAAACTCACCCTGAATTTTGATAAATAGGTTAACATGTTTATAAATACAGTTAATTGGTCACAAATTTTTCAGATATAATGTCTTGTACATAATCATAGTTTGAACCCAAATAAATTATAGTCATAAGTACCTTATTGTCATTTTTCAACCTTTTTCACCCCTTTCATTTCGTTTGGATCATCTTATCTATTTGGTAACAAGAAAAAAAGAAAAGAAATTTTTGATTGAACAGATAAGCATGGGATAATAAATAATAATAATAAAAGCCTAACAAGAGAGAATGAAAGAGAAAAAAGGCAGGATAATAGATAAATAAAAAACCATCACCGTGGGTTGCAACTTGGGAATTGGGAAAACGAAATAAAGGAAGGAACATAAAAACTCAAAAGTGAAGAGAAGAGAGATTTGATGGATCCTCCTCAGCTCATATGTTTTAGGAAAGCAGTAAGATAAAGAAAAAGGGGGTACTAGGGACGCCCATTGGCCATTGGCCATTGCCCACTGTCATTCTCATCCTCA